AGCTATTGGAGACTGGAGAGCTATGTTGGTAAGATGGCTCTTGCAATTACTATGGATGTAAGACAACCAGAGTGGAGGCCAAAGACTTGATACATAGACCAGATATCAGCAGACCTTAGAGCAGTGGTAGGCAAACTGCGGCCCATCAGGGTAATCCGCTGGCAGGCCACGAGACAGTGTTTACATTGACCATCCACAGGCACGACCGCCCACAGCTCCCAGTGGCCGTGGTTTTCCATTCCCGGCCAATGGGAGCTGAGGGAAGCAGCAGCCAGCCCGCCCCACTTCCTGCAGCTCCCATTGGCTGGGAACAGCGAACCGCGGCCACTGGGTGCTGCGGGCAGCCATGCCTACGGATGGTCAATGTAAACACTGTCTCGGGGCCTGCCAGCAGATTACCCTGACGGGCCGCAGGTTGCCCAACACTGCCTTAGAGAGACCAATATGCACGACAGCCAGGTATACAATCATGAGTTTTAGAAGAAGGCTATAAAATCACTGACCCTGAATAGCAAAGTGGCAAGAAAGAAGAAGACTGGGAGATGAAGGCAGGGGGCAAACAGTCAATTTTGTGTAACACATTTCTGAGGTAAGAAGTTGGACCAAGTATGTCATTTCTCCTGGTATGTGCCAAGAGCATCATAAATCAGATTGAACTCAGATTTATCATTTCATGTATTCTCCCCCAAAGGTTGCTAATTTTGCTTTGTCACAAATATGTGGTGGTGCTAACCTAAGTGAGACCAACATTTTCTGAGTAAAGCACAGTTAGATTGTTATTCATATCAAACTGAAATAGGGGAGTGTACATTCAAACACACATGCACACAAACCCTGGCTAAAACTTTCCAGCGAACTTCTCTAGAATTGGATGAGGCTGCCTATGATGGGGTGCACTCAGGATGGGGAAGGGTTAACTCCTCACTGTGGGCTGAGGACACCACACCCCCATGTCCCTTCTGGGCATGCTCAAGATGTAGCATCAGTATAAGTGGGAGCAGCTCAGCTCAGTTGGGGCTAGTTGCCGGAGAGGAAGGATGCATGCTGCAGGCTCCAGCTCGGGAGCTGGAGATACTGAGACTCAAGCAAGTGCCCAGGTACCTGAGGACGCCACTCGGAGGTCACCACTATCAGGGTCCTGAGCAGGGAAGGCCCAAGTCTCCCTACCATGGCTGCCCCCCTCTGGGAGGCGGCCCAACCCTATTGATTCAAGCCCCTAAGCCTAACTGCCCTGCAGACAAGAGTGAACCTATTGATTCTGGCCACTTGGCCTTACTGCCCTGTGAGGCAGGGTGTTGGTATTGGATCTGGCCATTAGGCCTCACTGCCCTGGGAGTCTGGGTATTGTTATTGACTTTGGCCGCTAGGCCCCATTGCCCTGGGAGTCAGGGTATTGCTAGTGCTAGGCCTTACCGCCTGCAGAGCCAGACTACTGTACCACTTTCAAGAGTCTGATTTGTCTTGTGTACCCCAAGTTTCACCTCACTTAAAAAGTACTTGCTTACAAAAATCAGACATAAAAATACAAAAGTGTCACAGCCACACTATTACTGAAAAATTGCTTACTTCCTCTTTTTGTCTGTATAAAATTTTAGTTTTATACAGACTGACTTCACTAGTACTTTTTACGTACCTGTTGTAAAATTAGGCAAATAGCTAGATGAGTTGATGTACCCCCTGGAAAACCTCTGTTTACCCCCCGAGGTACATGTACCCCTGGTTGAGAACCATTGCTTTGGGGGACACAGAGGTATATGTCATTGGCAGTCCATGTAATTTAGAGAAACCTTTAAATTGCTCTAAATGATGCTGGAGGACTAGCCCAATATTCAACCAGGGTAGGGCCGGAAGAGTACAAAGAGTGTCTGGCACCTCCACTGCTGAACTTTTCTGTATGATTCTCCGTCACAAGTGAGGATCTAACCCATTAGATTTTATAACCCAAAATGCAACCACTTTTTTAAGAACAGAGAGAAGCAGTTTAAATACATACAGCCAAATGTTCTAGCACTAGAATGATTCGGAAAGTGTTATGGGTAAGAATTGCTAGTGCCTCTTTTCTTCCCATCTGACCCTTCCAAGGAAATACCTGTTCTTAATTCCCCCCAGTGCTTTGCTCACTGGAACATCATGCTCTGGAAAAGTAAGGGGAATCCCTATATTATAGATAATACACACCGTTTCTTTTCAGGCAGGTTTAGATAAATAATATTTATTCCTTCCTGTTTCAAACCAGTAAGCCACCTGGCTTTTCTTAAGAAGTTGAGATGTCACCTTTTCCCCACTAGGAGTCTCCCCTACTCTATCAAAAGTCACAATCTATGGCTACAAAAGGATACTAATAGTTAAAAGTCTTGTATAGCAACCACAGTTCACAGTATTTTGAGTGAAAAAGCCCTCTCTAGCCTCTTATCTAGGCACAGTTAGAAAGCAGCATGTGACATTAATATTTTCATCTTGGGCTATGTGCTGCATTCAATATCAAATAAAAACAGTAACTACCAATACACCTTTTCAGCTTTCTTGGCTTCTGCAATAATACAATGAAACATCTTCCTGCAGGAGTCAATCAGTCCATCTTTCCATTTGCCCTAAATCTCTAGTGGAACCTGGAGAAAACAGCCTGTTACCATGGAGAGGAAGAAGAGAAACCTCGATTGTGAAACTATTGCTCCTGAAACCTCATTAAAGAAAAGCAGGGGCTCTGGAGGGCTGCAATTTCTCATAGAGAAGGTCACCCCATAAACACAGGGATTCCTTTCTTTTCCAGACAAGCTTTGGTGTAATGCAATCAGCTCCATAGCCAAAGTCCTGCCCCTCCCGGGGGCAAGCAAATCTCCAGAAATCTCCCACTAGTAAAATCAGATTCAGTTCCTGCTGGATCTCTATAAAAGTAAAAGTCAAAATCTTGTAGGAGAACCTGCCGACTTTCTCCCTGAAGGATATTGTCACAGTTAGGCACAGCAGAGTTGCTCAAGCTAACGGTGCCTTGGTTTGAAAGAGCAAAGGCTTGTTGCAGAACACTGTCCTTAAGAAATTCTTGATCATGAAACTTGCTCCCTTCCTTACTTTAGTGTGTCAGAGCCCATTTGCCTTGACCTTAAGAAAGCTTTGTAATGGCCATGCATTTTGGGCTGGCTTGGGAAGGGGTCAGACATCAATATTTGAGGACCCAATATTAGACACCTAGAACCTGATATTTATAGGTCATGAGCACCTGCATCTTCCACTGACTTTAACTTACAATTTGGGTGCTCAGTGCCGTTGGCAATCAGGCTGTGGGCCTCTAAAGTTAGCAGCCAATGAAGTGAGGTACCAAAAGAGAAGTGGCTTTTGAAAATTTGAGCCATTATGTTTTTAAAATTCATCTGCCATGATGGAAATCCAAATACAACAGCATTTTGCCATTGTCCTAGCACATTACAGTATGAAATTAAGTCTACAGCGCACAGAACTGTTTTAAGTAACTGAATCCCAGGTGTCCAAAAGATCTGGTTAATCAAACATTGTTTAATGTAACCCAAAGATTGGATGTGTCTTCCCCAAGGCCAAATGGGACATTTTCATTGCAATCCAGGTTCCCCAAACCTGGGATGAAGCCACTGATGTTGCATCAATTGGATTCCCAAGGGTACAACAACAGATATTCACAGTGCTAAGCTTGGAGGATCCAGAGCACGTACTATTCCCACAGAACTGACTGGCATGGGGAAAGCTGTCTGGTGGAATATTTTAAACTATGATCCAAACCTGGAGAACCCAGAGTACAGTCTTTGAGTGGCAGCCGACGTGGCACCAGCCTGGCTAACAATCAAGAATGGAGGGGAGCAACTTTGAGGTCTGCACTCTGGGACTGAAGAACCTAGCTTCCTTTGATGTTTCAACTCACTGATTATCTGAAGGTTTGGGACATTCCATGTCAGTAATTGAGTTTCATTGTAAAAAAATGAGTGAAGAGCAAAAACAATCAAGGTGCACACCTAAAGAAATAGTGACATGGATAATATTTTATCATTAAAAATATTGGGGGAACAGTGCTTGCTAAAGTAACAGAAGTCTAGGAGAACCAGACTGGGGAGATCTGCATAGGGAGCAGCAGCTCTGACACCGTCTCCAGCAAAGCCCACTGAAGCCACCAATGTTGGGGTTCTGAAGGTGAGACCAGGGTATAGCCAGAGCAGGAGCATCTGTTCTCTGTGGAGTGCTCCTCTCCAGACTCCCTGAACATCATCGGAGACAGTTAGTGCTGTTCTGAACAACTTTAGTTCCCATAGCTACCCCACTCACCAGATGCCCAAAACATCTGCCTGGAGAGGCAATACATCTGCCAGAGGCAGCTCAGCCAACACTGGGGAAGAAGACCCATAGATCATTGCTGATGATCCTGGATCCATGGGGAGGGAAAAAAGTTCAGCTATGAATCCTAAACTTCTGCAAATTTAGGTCCTCATATCGTCTTTGGAATCCTCCACATTCCTCCACTGTGTAGAGTTTTCTGGGCTCTCTGTCCCATACCCAACAGGAGAATATGAAATTACCCTTGATTTTATCTTGACAGTGTCCATTTAAAATTTAGGAGGAGAATATGACTAGCAAACTAGCTTAGTCATATTACTGTAAATGTGTGGTAGACATATGATGTGAGAATGCTGGGAAAGGCAGGTGTGGCAGACACTAGCCTCACAGCTCAAGTCACTATTCTGTCTGCAATGTCTTAGTATTACATAACACAGAAGTTACCTCTTCTCACTTAACTTATTAGAATAGTTTTCTGTTGGAAATATGCTTTTGTAAAGTTAATTACTCTGGTCATAGGTAAACTATAGAAAATGTGGCATAAAAAGTATTGATTCAACGCCTAAAATATTTCAGAAACTGTTTGATGAAGCATTCCTTCAGGCTCTCATAGCTAAAACTATTAGGAAACAACATGGCTAGCCACACTCTTCAAAGTTAAGTTTTGAATGAAAACTAGTGAGACATGCTGATCTGCACCGTACCTGTACAGATGAAACTTGATAGTCCTCCATAGATGACATCATCATTGTCTGGTAATATAAATGGACACCTTGTCTGAACCTCCAAACAGTATTGCTTGCAAGGAATTCTGTTGCTGCAGTGAAACTGTGTGACTTCAAAATACTGGGAACAGAGCCAGGCTTTGTAGACAGTCTGGAAAAAGAGAAGAATCAGAAGTATAGATGGATGACAATAGCACTGTCATTATCAGAAGCACATAGTGTACTGCTCACCTACACTGATGCTGGTTCTTAAAGCAAATTTTAAGAGAATATCACCTGAGTAAAATAAACCCATAACATATCACTACTCTCCCACTTCTGTAAAGAAAACCCCAATCAAGCCATCTCAAATGACTGATTTAAAAACATAAAACATTACTCAATCATGATTGGATTAATATTATTCTGTAATCTTATTTGTGCAGAGATGTACCGTTCTCTGATGCACCTTTTAATTAAACACGTGTCCTGGACTTTACAGATAAACTGAGGTTCTAAAAAAATTAGAAATAATTTGGAAAAAGGCACAGAACCTAAACACCAGAAGGAATTTCAAAGAGATTTATTTAATACACTCTGGCCTATTTGCTCTTCATAATTTTACCAAATAGGGCAAAGCCTTCAGGTCACAGTAGATGGCGCTGTTTCCTCTCAATTAAACTCCAATGCAGTCTGCAGGATTAAGGAGCACATTAGAGTGCCTGAACATCAACAGCCACAGACTAGGGGATAAAGTCAGGGAGAACATTTACATGTGATCCAGCTCCAACCCATTAAAGAGTCCATCATCTGAAGCAGTAAAGCACTCCAGCCGAATAATTTATTTTAAAGCAAATTGATTTTGTTTGGTTTAGTCTTGTGGAAGGTATTTTCTTAAGACACGCTATCATTCATAATGGTAACTCGAGCCTATTAGCTATACAACTGCTTCATACATGTGACCGTTCAGGAAATGCAAGAGTTGCATTTGCTGACTATCAAGCAGCCATTGTGGGGAAACACCTACTGACGGAGTCCCAAAACAATTTCCTGGTTTCCCAATATATAATTTATTTTTATTTTTAAACACATTATTTACGGGCTAAGATTTTATCTAGTTTGCTGGATAATGAAAATTTCCATTCTGTATTCATTCAAAAATATCTGAAAGATTTAGTAACGACATTTCTTCTATCAGAGGCTGAAAAGCAATATAGTTTAACTGATTATTTCTCCTCTTTCTATGCCTGTTTTTAATAAAAAAAAAAAAAAAGGAAAACTGAGATTAAAAAGTGTAAACACTGAAAATTCCATAGCTGATACTTGAAAGGACTAATTTGATAGAGGGTTTGGTTCAATGTAGGCATGTTTCATCTTATCAGTTATAGTTTTTATTAGTGTCAGTAAAATTTTAAGTTCTATAATTATCTATGATTATTTCCAAGGTGGTAGTTCAAGAACCACAGAGCTATTATTTTTAGAATATTTGCAATGGCAGCAGATATGGCAAGGTTTTTACGTGACAACTGAAAATAGTGTCACTAATCTGTGGTTTATGTTAACCCCTTTGTAACTGCTTACACGGAGCGTATTCACAAACGATTATCATGGCAGCAGTCTAGATGATATATGTATTCTTTTGTTCTCAAAGTTTGAAATTACAACTGATTTTGTATGCAGTGTTGTTATAGCTGTGTTGGTCCCAGGATATTAGAGAACAAGGTGGGTGAGGTAATATCTTATACTGGACCAACTTCTGTTGGTGAGAGAGACAAGCTTTAGAGTTTATACAGAGCTCTTCAGTCCTGAAGAAGAGCTCTGTGTAAGCTTGAAATGTGTCTCTCTCTTGTCCAATAAAAGATATTACCTCACCCAAATGATTCTCTCCATATTTAATATATACCCCACCATGCTTTCAATAGTTTGATCTAATACCATATATTGACACCTGTTGGTATAATGAAAATAACAAATACATTCTTTCTAATATGTGGTAGATCATAGTCTATTGGTTGGAGAAGGAATCCTGGTTCTGACAAAAGATGAATTTTGACCAGTCAATCACCTCCCTGTGTCTCAGTTTACTTATCTGTAATATACACTGTATTTCACAGAGTCTGACACTTACTATTTATAAAGTGCAAACAATCCTAAAATGAAAGATGCCATGTGAATTATCTTCAAAAACTGATATTGGTTTATGAATGTCAATTATGCAGTATAAGAAAAAAACAGATAAACTGGTGTATACATTTAAGTGGGACAGGATGTGATCATTATTCAGGATTAGAATTGGTTGGGAACATTTTAATGAAATGTTTTTTTCCATTGGAAAAATGTTGATTCATCGAAACTGAAATTTTAAGCGTATTGGTTTCACAGAAAATTTAATTGGGAAGGTTTCTCAGATCCAGAATTGAATTTCTCATCAAAACCAACTAATCAGAATAGCCAGTAGACTAGTGGGTCTAGGTCACTCACCGAGGGTGTGGAACACCCAAGTTCAATTCGCTACTCTGAATCAGATAGAGCAAGAACATGAACCTGAGTCTCCTATATCCCAGGTGCATGGTTTAACCACTTGGCTTTGGAGCCAGTCTCTCTTTGTCTTTCTCAAGGAACATTTAATTATATGTAAAAAGTGGAACAGCTCTAACAGGAGAGATTGACAGACAGTATCTCTGTAGCCCAGTATTTATGGCATTCAACTGAGATGTGGGATTTATTTGAAATACTATATTTCTATACTATGTAAACTCTATTAGTAGGTGCTTGCTATCAGTGTGACACCAATTGTCTCTATTTACATATATCACATAATACAGTGTTTCTCAAACTGGGGTCGCCGCTTGTGTAGGGAAAGCCCCTGGCGGGCTGGGCCGGTTTGTTTACCTGCCCCATCCACAGATCTGGCCGATCGCGGCTCCCACTGGCCGCGGTTCGCCGCTGCAGGCCAATGGGGGCTGCTGGAAGTGGCGTGGGCCGAGGGACTTACTGGCCGCTGCTTCCAGCAGCTCCCATTGGCCTGGAGCAGTGAACTGTGGCTAGTGGGAGCCGCGATCGGCCAGACCTGCGGACGGGGCAGGTAAACAAACTAGCCCAGCCTGCCAGAGGCTTTCCCTACACAAGCGGCGACCCCAGTTTGAGAAACACTGACATAATACCAGATACCAGTTTAGATACTATCCTGGACTAACTGCCTTTGGTTCTGTAGAACCAGGTTCTATAGACAACCTGCATGAGCCTGCACATGTTCACTAATCATGTTATCTGAATCCAACAACTTTTACCTTCAAATTTATGAACCTTAGCAAACTTGTGAACACTCACAAGAAGTATCCTCTACTTGCATAATCAAAACTTGCTATGTAATATCATTTATTTTGCATAACAGCTTTCATAAAAAATTATCACAGGTGACTTTCCCAGCTGATTATAGTCTGTTAACAGGCTACAAATAGAAGTCAACTGCAGAAATTGCCATGATACACCATATATCTTGACTTTAGTAAGTCTTTTGATGTTGTCTCACGTGACCATCTCAATAGCAAACTAGGGAAGTATCACCAAGATGAACCTACTATAAGGTGAGATCTATCCTGGATCTAGTTCTAGTCAATATATTCATAAATGATTTGGATAAAGGAGTAGATAAAATGATTTGGATAATGGATATGGTTTACAGATACAAAGATCGGAGGGGTTTTAAATGCTTTGGAGGATAGGATTAGAATTCAAAATGATCTTGACAAACTAGAGATGTTCTGAAATAAATAGGATGAAATTCAATAAGGACACATGCAAAGTACTACAATTAGGAATGAATAATCAATTGCACATATAAAAAATGGAAAATGACTCCGTAGGAAGGAGTACTACAGAAAATGACCTGGGGGTTATAGTGGATCACAAGCTACATATGAGTCAACTATGTAAAACTGTTGCAAAAAAAGTGAACATCATTCTGGGATGTATTAATGGAAGTGTTGTAATCAAGGTATGAGAAGTAATTCTTCCACTTGACTCATCACTGATAAGTCAACTGGAGGAGTGTGTCCAGTTCTGGGCACCACACTTGGGAAAGATGTGGGAAAACCAGAGAAAGTCCAGAGGAGAACAGTAAAAGTGATTAATGGTCTAAAGAAAATATGACCTACAAGGAAAGTTTTAAAATATTGGGTTTGTTTCTTCTGTAGAAGAGAAGACTGAGAGGGGACATGATACCAATCTTCAAGTATGTAAAAGGCTGTTATAAAGAAAAGGGTGATAAATTGCTCTCCTTATCCACTGAGGACAGAACAAAAAGTAATGGGCTTAAATTGCAGCAAAGGAGATTTAGGTTAGACATTAGGAAAAACTTCCTAACTGTAAGAATAGTTAAGCACTGGAACAAATTACCTAGGGAGGTTGTGGAATCTCTGTCACTAGAGGTTTTTAAGAACAGGTTAAACAAACACCTGGTGGGGCTGGTCTAGATAATACTTAGTCCTGCCTTAGTGCAAGGGACTGGACTGATGACCTATTGAGATCCCTTCCAGTCATACATTTCTATGATTCTGTATGATGCAGTAATATGGAAGCTCACTTAAAGATTCAATGGGACAAAATTGGTGATTTTAGTCCTACTGGATGCACACATTTGCTGGATCTTTCTATTATTAAACTCCTAATATAAATGGCTATTTAAACTGGCATTTAAGTGGTCAGAGTGATGCTTCAAAGACTCAGACTCCATTACATTGAATGGAGATTTTTTTTTTTACAGTCTTCTTATGGCTAAAGGGCTTGCAGCTATAGGTAAGGGAACTTGAAACAGACCCTTGAATAGAACACTCTAGATAAGTGCAAAGCGTTATAAATGAACCTAATCCTAAAAGATGGTAAGCATCTGCAATTTCCACTGAAGTCAATGGATATTGCAGGTGTTCCACATCTCTCAGAATTTCAGGTAGGATCCAATGCCCATTGAAGTTAATGGAAGACCTTTAATTGATTTAAAAGGGTGTTGGATTGGACTCCTGATCCATTAGTGTTATCCCAAAGTCCGGAACTTTATTTGATGCTTATTCTGACTGCACTTCTTGTATCTACAAACTGGACATGAAATTACATGTCAAAAGTCTCTCTTGCAGAATTTTGCACTTCTGCTGCTAGCCATGTACTCAACATGGG